TCCAAGGAATATGATAAGCTTTATGGCTTGCTGGTTTCTTTTGGGCAGAAAGCAATACTAATAGTGAGTCCTTACTTATGTTATTATTATTAGCCGCATTAAGTTATTAGCTATCCAGTCTATATAAGCACATGTTCTACTTTCAAGCAAGAGTTGAGTGATCAGTTCCATTTCTTCTCCTTTCAACTTTCAGTTCTTACTACGATGCTAAACCATAGACAAGCCGTACCGGATCGCCCGGCGATTCACGAATCAATGTGCCCAGCTGGGTGCCCCGAAGACACACGCCCCGCTTGTACACCAGGCACAAGCAGGACCAACCCATCACTCTCCTGTCCTGGGTGTCCAGGTCTCCGTCCAAACTTGGACTCCAAGCACCCACTCCTGAGTCCCGGACTCAGTGCGGTGCAAGAACCTCCACCGTCCTCGCCTCCAATCAGTTGATCCGGAAAGAGCCGGATCCACGACAAGAGAGCAACAAGTCTTCCCTAGCGCCCATACCCAAGTATGTGCTCGGGACAATAAATCTATGACTTGTCTAGAGTCATATGCAACGACCGGTCCTCAATCGACATAGATGGGGAAAAAGTGTAACCGAGCTATGCCCTGATGGTCGCAGGATACAACCCTTTACACCCACCAATACCCAAGCCATATCTCTACTCGGTCACCATTTACCTTTACATATTTTATCATGAGTGATCATATTTATCACCTACTTGTGAGTAACGACAGGTTACTCACGCTACCGATATCCTAAGCATAGTAGCTACTCGACCTGTACTAGTAGGACTCATAGGTAGATATATTTATACATGTAGTTTTTATAAAATATCTGTAACGTAAATACACATCATATATATATTTAGTGATCATTTAAAATACGGGTTATGCATCGGGGCTTGCCTTGGGCAGGCGACGGGTCAGCAAGGTCAGCACCAAACGGCTCCAGGGCTCCCTCTTGCACGAGGATCTCCTCCTCGTACTCCTCAATTACCTCGTCGTACTCCGGCTCATTGACGGGCACGAAGTCTACCAGCTCGTGATCTACATGCATGAAATGATGATGCAATGCTTAGTAATATAACAACAGCCACTCTTAAAATAAAAGTACATATGTTTAACTACTAAGCTATAGCTACCGACCTAGGTACTAAGTTATCTATTGTTACCATTAACAAGTATGAAGTATGGCAGACATCATTATAGCAACTACCGGTATTCTTACTCCTAATACTAATTTATAATATATATGATAAAGCAAGGATAATAGCTACTTAGTTATCATCCTACTTTAGGGTTACAAAATTTATAGCAAGTACATAATAATCTAGTGAGCCTACTGTAAAACTTTCATAGCCATATCTACCACCAATTTTCCACAAATATTCCTACAATATTAATCTACATAATACTAAGCTCTTTAGTTTGAATTTATGAAACTACCATCGTCACAACTAACTGTAATCTAACTGTACTAACAAGTATGTGGTAATTTTACAAACCTAACAAAATTGGTTTTACTATTTTTAGACCACTACACAATTTACTACAAATTATCAAAGTTCAGCTTGAGAACTAAATTAAATAAACATTAACAAATTCACTAGAAAATTTAAACTGCTTTTGGTTTCGTGGCCCACGCTAACGCTGGCTCGGCCCAACCCGGCTTCCTCACTTGCACAAGACGCACGAGCCACCAACAAGGCTCACGACTTGGCGCATTTCACACAGCGCCAGCCCGCCCACGGGAGAAGACCCGCGCGCGCGCCACATCATGCAAAAGAGCCCTCGGGTTCCCATCAAATAGCAACGCAGTCCATTCCACTATTCCCTCCTATCACTAACTCTAGCACTTAGCCCCTTAGTTTACTTCAAATTTATGTCGCGACGCCCCTGGCCGGACTTAACAGAGCCGCGACCTCACCGGCCAAACACCGACGAGCACCGACCACGCCGGCACACACCAGCATCCCCACGAGCTTCCTCGTGCCACGCGAAATGGATTGAGGTAACACACGCCCAGAATGGCGCACCACGCAGGCGTGGCCACATGCCGCGGCGGTGACCGGCAGCGGTAGCCCGACGCCGGCGAAACCACCTATTCGAACGCCTCTAATACTACTCGGTGACCATCTGCAGGCTGTGTTGAACAATGTAGAAGTTCTAATTGGTTCGTTACTACCTTCAATCGCGTCGACCACGGAAACCGCATCTACCTACGTCCGCTGGGGACGGCCACGCGGTCCGGCGAACTCCTGCCCTAATCGAACCAACCAGCTACTCTAGGAGTAAGAGGACCTCACCTGACACATGATGGGCGAACTGGGTGAAGGCACAAGGCTCAGCAAGATGGTCGGCCACGAACACGGGATGACTCTCGTTCCCGGCGAGCACAGCGACGACGTCTCTGGTGGCCCGCTGCTCCGACGATGAAACCACTGCATGAGCGCGATAACCAAGTCAACTATTACTCAAGGCACAGCCTAATTGAAACGGCGAAGCACCCCACGACGCTCTGGCCGTGCGCCCGCTCTGGCGGCCATGGCAGACCGCTGCGAGGGAAACACCCCGCCTCACCTCACTGAAGGCCGAACGAAAGCCTAGGCGACTTCACTCACACGCTGACCATTCGGGCTCGTAGTGGGCACGGTTAATTGGAGAACGGTGGAGTGGGTGAGGCCAATTGCAGTGGCGACTCCTAAGGACTTATGGCAGCCGGCGAGGACAGAATTTCAAAATGGCGCCCCTCCCAAGTACCACCGCCACAGTGACCGGCTTGGCACGATGACGTCCTTCCACTCGACCACCACACGTGCGTGATACACAAAAAAGGGCCAGCGCATCGATTTGGCTTTGGCGTGGCTCGGCCGGCCGGCGACCTTGCAGGCGACGTGACTAGCGTCTTTGGTGTGGCCTCGAGCACAAGCATGAGAATGAGACAAGCCGGACGAGCCCACACATGCGCACAGCCGACATCAACGGGAGCAGTACCAGGACGGCAGCACCGGACGGCACGCAGCGCGAGCGACGCGACGCGACGCGAGCAGCAGCCATGGGCGGTCGCGCCGAAGGAGGAGCAGAGCGGCTAGGCATGGCCGGGCCCAGCGCACGCGCGCGCCGTGTGCCAGCCAACAAGACGACAAGAGGGGTGCCCTAGGCGGGCGCAGGGCCAACGCGCAACGACGGCGGGCGGTCAAGAGGAGCATACGCGGCGTGCGAGTAGTAGCAGCCAAGCAAGCGCAAGCCGGCGAAGGCGGCGAGCGATGGCGGGGACGGCCAAGCGGCGACCACACGCAGGCGTGCCCGCCAAGCAAGCGCAGCGATGGCGGCGATGGTCGGCTTGGCGATGCATGTTGCGGCGCCTGCAAATGCGGCAGAAAAAAACAAGCAGAGGCGGTGACCACGATCAGCGCTGACATTGGTTTAAACCATGTGACGTGCACGCTTTTAAAGCTGTTGAAAAATCCTACCCGATGGTCCAAACGCTAAACCAATTCTTCTATACACAAGGGGGTACGTAGGGCTATCGACCTAAGCCATGACATCTCGCCACTTCCTAAGCCGATTGATCTACAAAAATTACCAAACATGGCTTCGTCGACCCGATTACAGACTTGACGCAAAATGAATAAACCTCGAACGGTTTCGCGTCGAATTCAAATTCCGAGCTTCTCGACATATAAGCTAGCGAACCTCGTCCTCGACCGCACGCATTTCATCGTCACCTACGAAGTTCGTACTACAAACTTTATCCAGGTTCGCATAAACGTTCTATAATATTTTTGTTCGATAAAAATTCGCTTAGAATACTAAACGATATTGAGTGACATGAAGCGTACATTTGTTTCTTGTTTCGGATGAACGTTTCAAGTGCCGCACATGGATTTATACTTTACGTTACACACATTTACACATAAGTATGATGCTCATTCAGTGTTTTAGCAAAAACTGTACAATGTAGCACCGAGGGGGTGCGCCGGGGGCTAGCGGATGAGACACGCTGGGGGATTACGGAGCGGATGTGAGCGCACGCTGTCCCCTTCCGTCACGCGGGATGCTGAGATGGCTGCCGGACGACGCTAGTGCCCCCGTTTTCTTATTAATCAAAATGGGGCCTAATGTAAGGAATCAGTTTGTGGACAATTTGGAATTCTCATGTCTCCAACTTTCAGATGGATATAGGGCGAAGCAGTAGCCAAACATCTCATGTGGCGAGACAGATGAAATCCGTGAATAACTTGGGAAGCGTGACTGCACAAAGATCCAATCAGCAACAGCGGCATGCTTGTACTTGCTGGCACTTCAAGTCTTTCCAAACCTTTCACTGTTACCAGCAATCATGTGGTGGTGTAACTGTAATGCCGTTCCATCGCCTGAATACTGACTGAGATGACTGCAAGCATAACAGCGAATGGGGTTTGCACTTTGCAGTTTGCTGGCGTTTTCAAGCTACATGAGCATTTTTTTCCTTTTCTTTTTGGAGCGGGAAGGTTTGAAGTTCATATGTAAAATGCGCACAAGGCGTACAAGGTATCTGATGTTCCTTGCCGGATCCATCTGTTTTCATATTTGTTAAGTCATATCAATGCATCCAAGAAAGAGTCTATCTCCATGCTGACTGAGTTTCTGCATTTTTGTGAGTCAAAAAAATTCAGATTAATAATAAGAAGTGAGTCATCTTACGTGGACTGAAATTGTTGAAGAAAATTTTGTTCATTCGACCAACAGCAAGCGCAAAATGAACTGGCGATCTGGCTTTGCCTGCATGGGTTTAACAGTGACAGCAAGGTCCTACAATACAAGTTGCAGATTCCGACAGTTCTATATATACGCCAAGGCGATTACAAGGTCACATATATATATAGATCACAACAGGGTTGGCAGCAATGCTTGTGTAAAAGCCCCCGGAGCAACGCTGCGATTACACAATTCCATCCTGGATGTGGGGAAATCACCATCTTATATACTGCATCCCTGCTGCTCACTTTTTCAGGCAGTCACACACCCTCCATTCCTCCGGAGGCCTTCTTGAGATCCTCGTACATCTCCTCTATCATCGGCTTCCACAGCCGAACGCGGGCGTTGATGAACCAGTTGGAGACCTGCCAATGCAAATGCAACAGATGCATTCGTATATATATATTTCTTGTTAGAGTTGCTGAGATCTGATCTGAATCAAGTTGCAAGCAGGGCGAGAAGCATGAAACTGTACCTGGCTCCTGCTCAGGCCGCTCCTCGCTGCTAACATCTCCTTCTCGTTGTCTTTCGGGTACCTGAATGATGATATATCACATATGGATTAGTTAGTTCTGAATCGTACGAGGTTATCTCCCATTTGCATGTGGAAAGAGATGCTGAAAGCCTAAAGATTTCTCTGAATGCGAGACAGAGAGACTTATTACGGGCGGAGGAAGTTCTCGAACATCCAGGCTTTGAGCACGGCCACGGACTTCTCCGGCAGTCCGCGCTGCGGCCGCCACGACTGCTGGTCGCCGCGCCTGAGCTGCGGCAGCGCCCAGTGCTTCTGGATGAAGGCCGACTCCCAGCTGCGCTCCCTGTCGGCCAGCGACAGCGACGTCGACGACGACGGCTGATCACCTCTCCGCGTGGCCGCCGCGATCTCGCCAGTGATCCGCGCCCTGAGCCTCCGGTGCATCGCTGACACCACGCGGTGCGCGAACGGCGCCGAGAGCGCGCCGCCGCCCGGGCGCACCAGGCTGCCGTACTTGGACGCCGCGCTCTGGATCTCGTCCATGCATTGCTTGCACCGTTGGTCCATCTGCGCCGAGTAGAGTATTTATTTATTAGCATCAAATCAAAGTGATGTTATTCTAATCTAAGCACAGCAAAAATAAGAGTTCGGACTCACTATCTGTAACAGTTTCTGGAGATCGTTCTTGAGCTTATGGTATTGCTCCTCCGAGCCAAGAAACATCGACGGGTTCGGGTTGGATGACGTCGTCTTGGACTTGGAGCAGCTCGACGATGGCAGCGGGCAGCTCGCCTCACTGCCACCGGCCAAGCCGGCGAACCCGGCCACGTCTTGCAGCAGGCAGGCGACGAACTCGTCCAACGCCTGCTGCGCGATGTCCGCGTACCCGGACCACCGCGACAGGACCTGCGAGAAGTGCATGGGGCCCGGACGCGCCACCTGTCCGGCTCCGGCGCCGCAAGGAGGCTGGAACAGGGCGGGGCCGGCGCTGCTACTCCCATGTCTCAAGCCGGAGCAGCTCACCTCCGAGGACTGATCCGGCAGGCTCACGCTCACAGCACCTGCCGTCGTCGGCGAGGACCCAGCGCGCAGCCTGAGCGACAACTCGCTCGCCGCCGCCACGGCCCCAGCGAACGGCGGGTCCCGGAAGGCGTCGCCAGAGAACCACGTCGTCGGGCAGTAGTAGTACGAAGACTCGTGGATCCAGCCGCCTTCCGCCGGCTCTCCAGCGACGATAAGCTGCTTGGTCGCCATCATGGGCGCGTGAGCAACGGTGACGTCCCAAGGCGACGGGCCGTACGACCCGCCGCCGGTGACGCCGTAGGCACCACCGTGCGTCGTCTCCTCCGGCGACACGCTCTGCAGCGCGGTGGCACGGAGCAGCTGGCCGGCGAGCAGCACCGAGCTTGCATCCGCCGAGAAGCTCGAGGCGGCGGCGACGTCCGCTGCTGGTTCGCCAACAAACCCAAAGCCGCTGCCGCTGCCACCGTGCGGCGTGTACTCCGGGACGTGGAAGAGGGGTGCTGCGGCGTCGGCGCTGATATCACTACTGCCATCGCCGCTGACGAAGCAGCTGCTCATCATGGCGTCGACTCCCAGTTGCTGATAAGACGCGTTGCTGCCGGTCATCTTGAGGCTCGGGAGAAGGTGTCAAACGTTGTGGATACCGAATTAAAAAAAATAAAATAAAATAAAAAGGACCTGAAACTGAATGCAGCAGGAGGACAAGGTTAGCAGATTGCTCGTCCTACCACATAAAAAAGAAATGCAAAGGTAACCTGGCAGCAGCAATCAGGCATATGGATGGACATTGCAACAGAGATGCACATGAGAGAGGCTACGGCCGTACTCCCTCCGTCCCTCCGTGCCACCGCGCTGCAGAGCGTGTCGCCGGAGGAGAAAACGGCGTCACCGGCGGCGGGTCGTACGGCCCGTCGCCTTGGGACGTCACCGTTGCTCACGCGCCCATGATGGCGACCAAGCAGCTTATCGTCGCTGGAGAGCCGGCGGAAGGCGGCTGGATCCACGAGTCTTCGTACTACTGCCCGACGACGTGGTTCTCTGGCGACCTTCCGGGACCCGCCGTTCGCTGGGGCCGTGGCGGCGGCGAGCGAGTTGTCGCTCAGATCCTCGCCGACGACGGCAGGTGCTGTGAGCGTGAGCCTGCTCAGTCCTCGGCTGCTCCGGCTTGAGACATGGGAGTAGCAGCGCCCGTTTGAAAACCGTTCTCCTAGACGGAGGGAGTAGGAGGAGTTGTTCTCCTAGAGAAAAGAGAATAAACTAGACCACAGGAGGAAAAAGTCACTGTATCCTATTATTAGTTAGGCTGTGTATCTTGAAGTACTCTCTACTCGTTTAAAGCACACAGTAAAACAGGATGTTGGTCAACACTAAGAAATGTGAGGCTCCTCAGTTTTCAAAAACGGACAAAGCCGGAGGCATCATCAGTTACTATTACTGTAGTAATTCTCACAAGAAACTACTGAATGCCAGTATGCCACCAGCGGACCAGCCAAGAACCCAAGATACTGATGCATTAATAAATAAAATAGGCTTATTAGCCGACATGCATGGCAACAGCTACAGCTAAGCATATATAGATATAGCCCTTGTTTAGTTCGCGAAATTTGGATTTTGGGTCATGACATTTGGCAAATAGCAAACATTGACTAATTAGCTAAAACGTTATATATAGATATAGAATGGCTTCTTGGAAATTGGGTAGCAACAAAGATGGCTTCTTGGAAGCAAAGCAAGCATATATAAGAGGCTCAAGAGTGAGGACCCAAACCTTATCAAATCATCATGCAGAGAAACGCTGACAGGCTACTGAAACGCCAACCACCACTCTGGTACGCGTCCCGGGCCGGGAAGCAGCAGCAACTAGCACAGATCGATATTTCAAAGTGGTCTCAGCTCAAATACAAAGAGAGATGCACTGCCACTGAGCAAGAAGAAGCTCTGAGAAGTTTGCGGCTGCTGGCCACTACTAAACTAAAACGGAAAGGGGAGCGTTTCCTAATAAAACGGCTGCAGGGAGAACGAATGGCGTGCGTGTGCGTGTGACTCTGTGGTGGGGGTGAAGTGAGGTGGTTCTTTGCTTTTGCAATCCGCCGTCCCGGCCCGGCCGATGGAGAAAGAAGGAGCAGCAGCTAGCAATAGCAGGGAAACATGGCGGTCAGGGAGAGGTGTTATCAGGCAGGGGCCGGGGCCGGGGCCGGCGCGGCGCCATGATCAAAGCAAAGCAGGAGAGAAAGAGAGGACGAAATCATGCATGCACATCTCAACAAGCCAATGGTAGCCCACTTGGAAAGAAAGCCGGCCGTTGGCGGCCCCCGCGCCTCCGGATCGGCTCCTGGCCCCTGATCATGATCATGATCAGACCGAGATTTGGGCCTCATGGCCTCTCACTCACCACGTGCTAGCTAGCCTCCTCCTAGCTACCAAGTGAACATGCATGCATGGGTCCTAGCTAATCCGTCCTACCAAGGGCCAAGGGGATCGGACGGACGCAATGCAATCACATACTCGAGCCAAGTGCCGGAAACTGAAAGTGGGCAATTGCCCATACGCGGCTGGTTTGGCTACAATGCGCGCGCACAGTGGCAGTGCGTGCCAAAGCAAAAGACACAGGGTTCAGGTTCAGGTTCAGGCATGGCGGAGGGATCCTTTGGATCATACTTATGCATGAGTGCATCATGGCCTGTGTGCTGTGTGTGGAATGTGTCTGAGTCTGACTCTGAGAGAGAAGCTAAGGGTGGAGAAGATGCAACTACAGAATGGGGGAACGAACTGCTTAGCATGTTCGTTTGCTTGTATATGATCGTGGATTATAAGCTGAAACAATATTTTTCTCTTGCACTAAACTCACCAGCAGTAAATAATCCATGATCGTTTACGTCTGTCGAACATGCCGTTTAATTTATGGGACTTATCACCCCACGATGGATTGCCCCGCCCCCATCCCGGTCCCCCGCTCCCTCTTGTAGGACAAAAACATGCATGAGGGGCAGTAGATTATTTGCACCATAGGGTCGAGTTGATAGGTGGAGTAAACAATTAGTATACATAATGCATGACCTCATGCATGTGTATGCCCCTGTATTTCATTAAGACCAAAGAAATTGTTTTACGACATCCACGAACTCCGGCTGCTTCATGCCCACTGGCAAGACGCTAGCGTGCATGACTAGCCAGGATTTGTCGATCAGCTAGAGCAGAATCCTAGCAGGTACAACACAATCAAAGACTATATGGCCATGGATACAACATGGCAAAAGCGTTGGCACCACTTAGCTTACCCGACGTCGCTTGGCCAAGTCGACGCCGACCTCTCCTCGCAAAGAGGTCCTCCATGGCTTCCCGCCTTCCAGGGGGCAGCGGCGTGGTGAGAGTCTGCTGAAACTCCTCAAATGACGCCTCATCAGGCTTCGCCATCTCGACCTTAAGCTCGAGGTTTTTCAAGAGCACCGTTCTTACATGGGCGTCCGGCTTGGTCGCTCTGAATTTGCTCTTAGCAGCTAAACGGGCGCTGCGCTTGGGTCCCAGTTCCTGCTTGTTTCAGTTTTTCATTTTTCTCTCTCACATAATACTATTCAATCATCCGAAATAATCCAAAATCTACTGTTTCACCTACCAGCCGAACGCAGCGATCGTCGTCATCAGCAGCCTTTGGGGTCGTTGGTGATGCGCAACCTAGGTGACATAATAAGCGGCTGCTGAAGCGGTAGCCTAATAGCGTCGATGAAACTCTGCGCATCGCTGCGGTAGGTCTTTCAGGAAATGCATGTGCATGATCAGGGGTAGGTCTTGTTGCTAACCAACAGGCAGCAGCAGCACCAATCATGATCCCAACCCAGGCAGGGTAGAGGCAGGCACATGTAGATCTACAATTGTGGGAAAGAAACAAGGGCTCTTTCAGGACAAATCCGGGGCCACTCACTCTTGCGTACCACCAGGCTCAGGCTACTCTACTACAGTAGTAGATGCAAGCATGCATATGCGTGCAACCAGCGCGCTTTCCACTTGCCTCAGCAAATGCAAGCGAGAGAGAGAGCATGCACGCCAAGGCAACTAGGCAAGTGCGTCCAAGCCAACTTTAAGGCTCCCACCTCTCTGGTTTTCAATCAGCGGCATGCGTGCGTGGTTTTGAATCAAATCCTAGTATAGGTTGCAAAAAAGAACTACTAGGTTCGCAAGAAAACAACGGGAAATGTGTTTCTTTTAAAAAACGAAAACGAGGAGGACTGTTCGCTGATCGATTTCTGGGCTGATAAATTCGACTGGTGCTGGTTTGTTGTGAGAGAAAAACACCATTGGTTGGCTGATAAATCCTGGCCAAAACCAATGAGCAAACAGGCTGACGAGAGGGAGAGTGAGGGGGTGTTTGGTTCCTTAGACCAGATTTTAGTCCCTGTCCCATCGAATGTTTGGACACATGCATGGAGTATTAAATATAGATTAAAAAAATAACTAATTACACAGATTGCGACTAATTTGCGAGACAAATTTTTTAAGCCTAGTTAGTCCATGATTTGATAATGTGTTGCTACAGTAAATATGTGTTAATGATAGATTAATTAGGCTTAATAGATTCATCTCGTAAATTAGTCTACTCTTGTGTAATTAGTTTTTTAATTAGCTCATATTTAGTCCTTCTAGTTAGCATCCGAACGTCCGATGTGAGTGTGCGTAGGACTTCCGAGGACAACCTTCCCCTGCATGGCTGCCTCTGTCTCCCTCTCTCTCGAGTGTTGGTTTAGTTTCCAAAAAGTTTTCTAAAAAGTGCTATAGTAGCTATTGCATCGAATCTTGTGATACGTGCATAGAACATTAAATGTAGACGAAAAAAAATAATTACACAGTTTGGTTGGAAATAGCGAGACGAACGTTTTGATCCTAATAAGTCCATGATTAAATACTAATTGTCAAATAAAAACAAAATAACTACAGTTGTCAAATTTCTAAAATTCATGAACTAAACACAGCCTTACGTCACCGGTGTGCATGCACTTATCTGCTTGGTTTTGCAGACATCCGTCCCCTCCTGCCGCGCTCTGTCAAGGGTGATCAGGGCGGCCAAAAGATCTGGAATCTGTTTGCAGTCTGCGTACTGCTGCGGTTCCCTCTCAGCAAGCTGGACATGCACCTTCCATCAAACGAGTAGTGCTCGTCTGTCCTACTCCTCTTCCACACAACTCTACTGCTAGGTGATGTCAAAAAAAAAAACTCTCTACTGCTAGGCAACCACAATGTGACCATAAAACAATGTGAAAGTGGCCTATGAAACTGTCAATAGCAAAGAATAACCATAAACTTATGGAGTGCCATATAACGAATAAAGAAATATTTACTCCTCCCTCCTCCGTCTCTCTTGCTCTTGGTTCCAGCCTGGTGACTGTTCGTTCGGACAGCGTGGGAGGTCGTCCGCGCGGTGCCTCGAGGCCACCATATCCTAGACGTCCCCATGCCCTAGAGAGGCCATCGTCCTTGGCATCCGCGCGCCCAGCGAGGCCGTCGCCGGCAAGGTCGCCATCCTGGGACACTCCTGGGCACAAGGAGTGTCGTGAAGGTGCAGAGGACGAGGCGCGCGGCTACAAGAGAGGTGGAGGAACGACTATTTAAGGGCA